CCCCCCCCCTCCTCCTTCACAATCGGCCGCGCCTACCCGGACCTATGCGTCATGGCACACACACACAGCTTCTCAGGAGCCCGAATCCTGCGCAACGGGGCAGTAAGCAGCGCTAAAAGCACCCGCTGGTCGCGATACACGAGAGAGAAAGAGAGAGAGAGAGAAAGACATTTCCGGCGGCTACTCACATGGTGCCCTTGGGGACGGTCATGTTGAGGTTCTGCAGCACGTGGTTCGGGTTCTTGTTGGAGCCGTAGTGCTTGAAGGCGTGCCGGACGCACACGGCCTGCTGCCGCCGCGTCCACACCGAGCTCTGCTGCGTGACGAGGCGCCGCCCATTGCCCACGTCGCGGCCGGCCTCCTTCTCCACGTCCACCGTCGTCGGGCTGGTGCTCACCACGGTCTCGGGGCCGCCGCGCTCCGCGAGACTGTTGGCTTCTCTGCAAAACGAAAAGGGCAAAGGGTCAGAACAAAGGGGTCAGGGGGCAAAATACAGTGCTGGACCTGAAAGTTTTGAAAAGGAGGCAACACAACGCAATGACGGCGATCAGCGCGCTTGTTATGGGCAATGGTGGTATGCGTTCAACTCAACACTTGCAAGTGTTGAACCTCAGTTACACACTCGAGTTGAATTCTTGATACACGTGACAGTGCGCGGGCCACGCCCGCCCGAGCCCGTCCGAGAGCCAGACAGACGGTGTACGACTCTCGTTGCAGGTCGGGGTGGGGAGGGCGGGGGCCTTGACCCCCCTGCCTGACTGCATCGCACCCTGCGGCAAGCGCGCACATTGTGTCGTTGAAGCCGCAGAGTTCCAGCGGGAGCGATAATAAAAGAGAAAAAACGCCTTATGCACCGACGTGTATTAGCAGAAATGATGATGATGACGCTGACGACACCTCGGGGCCATGTAATTGTGCGACCCCGCCATGCTGATAGTGACACGGGGTTTTCCCGTCCATCGAGAAAAGTCATTTCAGGGGGCACGGTCACACAACTCCGCCTTACACACACTGGGCAAAAACAAAAGTGCTAACTCCTACCTTTAAAAGGCACTAAGGGTTTAGTGCCGTTACAAAGGCCTTTACTAAAAGTCCAAGGGCACTAATTTTCAGCACCTTTTGGGCTGTTTAGTGTCTTTGAAGGGCACTAAACTGAAAATGTGTTAGGTGCCCCAGGAAAGGCACGACTTTAGCACCTTTGTTTTACCAGTGCAGCTACTCGCGGGGTCTGCGCCTACTAACCATAATGCGCCGAAATGATAGTAGAACCTACTATCATGGCGCCGCGCATGAAAGCTCCACACATTTTTCGAACCCTTCTCCTCTCTCCTCCCCCACCCCTTCGCGGGATGCTTGCCCTATCGCAAACGCCGGCCAACGCCGGCCAACGCCTGCGCGGGTACACAGTTACGGCAGTACTGCATGCAGTAGGCTAACTAACGGAGGCGGACATAACGCTCTAGCGGGCGCAACAAATGTGTGAATAATGTCGCGCACCTGTAGGCGTATGCGAATGCCAATTCACACGCACTTGGTCTACTAAAGGAGTAATCTTTCCTTGTAGTTTTGCAACTCTTAAGTGTTTATGAATAGAACTTCACACGCCTACAAGTGTGCGGCATTCCTACAACCGGCTTTCCCGTGCATTTTAAAATTGAAAAAAATGTTTAGCGTCGGGTTCGGAAAAGTACCAGGCGGCTGAGAAAAAAAACGCGTTGGGTTTTGCACATTAGTACTCTGAAATTAATGTACAATGATATCGGCGGATTGCGTACTTGTTTGGGTTTGAGGCGCCCTTGTTCAATGGGCTAAGCCACCAAACCACACCAATACAGTTCCAACATCCGCGGCGTGGGTCTTCTTGGCCTTCACTTAGGTAAAACCCATCACGTTAAGAAACGTACAACACACGTCACACAACCGTCACACACACAGTTTGAGATGGTGCGCTGCGCACGTCACCGCGTGACAGCACAGGTGCAACAGAAATACGACGCGGGAAACAACGCGGAAGGCGAGAGGGTGAGTGCGACCCCGGCCCGGCGTGGCGTGGGAGTGACCCCGCGCCCCGGCAGGCACGAGCTCCTCCGCGTGACGAGCCGTGACGGCGTGTCACACTCGGCCGCTAGTCACGGCTCGTTGGCGGCGCAGCGTCTATGGCTGGAGCGGGCAGCCGTGACAGAAAATAAAATCGCTCAGATTTCGCGCAGCATTGCTTGCGAACCCTGTCTGGTCCAGCGCATAGCGGTAGCGAGCCGCCAGCGAGTTCCAAGCCGGCCACCAGACGGGTATTTCATCAAGTCAACCGTTCAAGAATGTTTACACGCCAGAAAAAAAATTAAATGACCCAGGAAATAATTGATGTTTGGTGAAGCAGATGACAGCGAAACTAGGTCGCTGACGGGAGATTCTCGCGCGCCTAGGTTATTCACGGCAAGCGCTCGCACTACTATTTCTGCTGCCGTTGGGGGTCCCTCCGTCTGCTGATGCGGCGCGGGGCGGGGCGGGGCGTGTCGCAATCCATGGACATCATCAGCAGGGCCGGAGGGCCCGCGCACAGCGGGGCGGGGGTGGGAACGAGCCCACGAAATTGTGTTGCGAACCGAAACATGGAAAAGGGATAAGGTATGCAGCACACTGACGGCGCGCAGGGTAACACGCCCGGCGATTGTCTGCCAGTAGGAAATGATCAGCGCAGCGCACAGTAAGGCATATTGCAGACAGACCGTGGGCATGCTTGGGGCGGGGTTGGAGCGGGGATGGAACGAGGGTGGAGCGGGGATTGAGCGGGGCTGCAGCACCGGGAAAAACAATATCCTTGTAAATTTACAACATTTTCAGAAATTTTGATTTACAAAAAAAGATGAAAATTTACGATTGTCCATTCTTGCTCGTCAATAAATTCCAAGTCGATAGGAAGTGATTGTAATTTTACAACTTGGAATTGTAATTTTACAATACACATCAATTATCTTGTAAACCCTCCAACTATTTTTCACTGTGGCAGCGGGCTGTTTGCACTTTCGCTGCGCAATGGCCGGTCCTCGCCATTACGCCACGGCGGCTGGACGCGGTGCGGTGCGACGCGGCGCTGTCGCGAAGTGCTTCATCAGCCTAGCACGTCTTTAAATTTAGTCTCATTTTACTTTCATAACAATACAGTAACTTCACAATAACTCCTTTTTGTGGTGTGGTGGAATGCGCCCAGTCGCGCGCCCCTTTACCGCTCGGAGAAAGAGCGATACATGGAGTCAGATCGGACCGTGATGGGGCACATATGGAGCACCTGAGTCAGCACGATGCCGGCCGCTGACACGTAAACACTCCCCCCCACCCCTCCCTCCTCGCCCAACCTCAGCAGCGGCACACGGTGCCGCAGCCACACCGACTTCAGTCACACTGGAAGTTCGCCAGCTGATGTCTTGCTCTAACGCGCGCTCAGACTATGAGCAACGTCACGCTGGAAAGACGAAGTATAGGAATGTCGTACACTTGCAGTTGTACAAATCTTAATTCGCACCCTTAAGGACACAAATTCTCGAAAATTCGCACATTCACTGGTCTGAGTGCGCGCTCTGGAAACCTAAGAGTGTGGACTTGAATACAGTACCTCCTACACACCTACATGTAATACAGGAGGTCATGTGTACTTCGCAAGTATGCAGGAGGTAGTGTGTACTTAGTCAGGTACACACTAAAACCTCCATACATTTATGCAGGAGATTTAGTGTGTACTTGACTAAGTACACACTACCTCCACTACCTTCTGCATACTTGACCAAGTACACACTACACCTTGCATACATTCCAAGCACACAGGGCCTCCCGCATACCAGGTGTTTCCTAAAAGACACAGGGCGGGTGGGTTTGCCTACCCAGAGGGCTATGGCGCCTTACCGGTAGAGTGGGTAGGCAAACCCGCCCGAAACTGTGTCTTTTATGAAACATCTGGTACATATATAGGTATGCAGCAGGAGGTACTGCATTCAAGTACGCACTTGGGTTGCCAGAGCGAATGGAAATTCACTAACCTAGAAGTGAGCGAAATTGATACACCTGGCTTTTTAGTGCACTAATCTTCTAATGACAAAATTTGATTTATGACGCATATCAAGACATGGAACCCCATTTCTGTACATGAATACGTCCGGGAGAAGCTGTTTCTTTTTGTGTGATCTTGAGGAAAATGAACTATAATTATTCGACGCTAGTTATGGGTAGAACGACGACCGGCACGAATGAGAAACAACCAAATTGAGCCCACTCGCAGGAGCTGAAGAACCAGGCCGCACTCTGACCCAAAGCCAGCCGGCATTCTCAGGACGTCTACGTCGATGAGCGCGTCCCCGATGTTTTAACTGCTGCAAGTGGACACAATCGCCGAGCCAGAATTTTAGTAACGTTGGTGATTTGGAGCCTCAAAAGCTGTTTGTCTACAAACCACGCCGTCTATTTGCTTTTTGTGCCCCAGTTGGCGAGGCGTGACCATTGCATTCGCACATCATCTAGCCTACGGCTCGACCTGAAAGCGAGGGGGCAACCACTTCGATTGAGGATGTACACAGGATTACGTGACTACAGGGATTACACTTGAATTTTGAGTGATTACACGTGAATTTTGTTAAATTTTAGGCACTAAAACAATCAAATTTGGACAATAAGGTAAAATTTAGTGATAATGTTTTAAAATTTGGTGAAGGATTACACGGAATAGACAAGGATTACGTAGGGATTACACCCTCATCTGAACACAGGATTACACGAGTGGTGGCCCCCTCGCCTGAAAGTGCACGCGTCTCCAGTCACCGGTGCGTCGTGGGTCCATTTAGGTCATTAGAAAGAGTTCTGGCAATTTCGCACAACGGACAGTGAAACCGCTTCACCTGGTTCCTATAAGAAACATTTTTTCAGATTTAAGTAAGTTACCTGAATGATCTATTTCAGATATAGCCGTTTTTTGGGGGGGCTATATTTGGGTAGCACCTGGAGATGGCTCCCAAGAGGCCCAAGCCAAAGGCCCATAGCTGCGAGCAGCAGGGGCTCTCTAATACGAGCAGGACAGTAGTTTTCAGGAAGGAATAGGTTACCCCACACTCAGAAAACCGTTTGATCCGCTCAACAAAAACGGGGTCCAAGAAAATTTTATTTGAGTGAGACAAATTTTAGTCGCTCTGATCACGTTATTTCATGCTGATAAAGGTGTGATCGGGTGTGATCGACCTGATCATATTTTGTTTAGAATTCTTGATCAAATGTGTAGTTGGCAAGGTAGTAAATTTTCATTGATTCAACACTTTTTTTGTTATTAGGACAAAACGCTTTTCTCAGTGCAATATGACCAAAAGATAACTCCTAAAGGTACTTGAAAATAGTCATATTGAGGTTACCTGAATCTAAAAATGGTTCCTGAAAACCAGGTAAGTGGGTTCACCGAGTGAGA